TTAACATTTCAGAAAAAACAGATATGCCAAACAAAGTCTATGAAGTTTATTCAGTCTCAATTTAACAATTTTAACTGTATCATAGATATCGTTGACTGATTCAGATATTACCTAGGTAATAGGAAGTCAGATACAGTATTAATGAAGTTATTTATTAAAACTAGATGAATATTATTAGAATTAGAATTTGAATTAGAATTAGAATTTGAATTTGAATTTGAATTTAAAAGAGGTCTTGAGGGTATTTGTGCTATCTGATTAATTGGGTATAATTGATTAGCTGTTTTATTTTTTAAGTTGATATTATTTTGTTTTAACCATAAGTTAAACAAAGCACATTGTGGAAGCCACACATTTTTATAATAGATTGTAGGAGATGATGTGAAGGATGATCGAAGTTTTTTTGTGAGAAGTAAATATTGGATGCATGGAGTTAATTAGAGATGATGAAATTAATCCAGCTGCAAGTATTACAGGCGAAATATGGTTGAAGTTAGATTGAGATAGAGGTTGTAATAGTTATTTGTTTGCAATTAATGTTTTATATTATTGTGTAAAAATGTAAATTGTTACACATACACCACCATCATCGATAAAAAAGGGTGATTCTACCTAAAATTGAAATTTACAGTCAACCCCTCTAAGTGCACCCTCATTGGGAACATTTCACTATTTCTCATGAACATACATTTAGAGAGGATATGCATTTAGAGGGAGTAATTTTATAAGCTCACTATAAGTTTGGGAATGAGACATGGTGTGCAATTAGAGAGGGTTTACATAGTGAGTGCATTTAGAGAGGGTGCACTTATAGGAGGCTGATTGTACCATCATCTCCCAAATTGTTCAGGGTCCTACTCAATCCGCATTATCAATCAGATAATCAGTATTTTGTATACATTTAATAAAAACGCGAATTTAACTAAGGAACAAGTTCAATAATACCTTTAAAAGATCTTACATAACTAATTGATTGTCAGGCCCGTTTTTATCAAATAATATATGAGTGTCTGAATTGTTGATCGCCAAAACTATTTTTGAAGAGGCGAAAGTCAAAACTAGTAGTTTCGAATTGTGGTAAAACCTTTTGACTTTCGCACAGTTATGAAAACTCTCTAGTTTTGATATCACTGCTATTTATATTTTAGTCATTTCATCTAAATATTTGACGTTAGACTAGTGTTGGTTTCCAAGGAATATTGAAACAGTTTAACCAAATTTGGAAATTATTCACAGAAAAATAACCAATTTTATATAATCTTAGTAATAATTTAATTTAATTTATATTTAATTTGAGTGTCCACCTACAAACATGACATCTTGTCTCCGTTTTATAATTTTATGCATAAATAAACCTCCTGCTAAAAATATCATACTACAGAAAAATGATCCTACAATTGAACCGGCTAAAACTCCAGTTGTTACCACACCATCTGTCATTATTGTTGTTGTTGCTTTTATTTCTGTTGCTGTATTTTGGCAATTACTAGTTGTACTTGATGGTGTTGTTGTACTTGATGGTGTTGTTTGATTACTTGTTGTTGGATCTTGCCCCTAGATTAAAAAAACTATCAATGTGACAATTTGGGAATCTAAAGAAAGTAAAACCTAAAAATAAACCTTACCAAATAATCCATTTCTACTTCTCCACGAGACAGAGCAAAGTTATAATACCGAAAATTGCTAATTTTTAAAACATAGATAATTATTTAATATGTTTATATGAATCAATATGATTGAATATAAGAACTCCATATATATATATATATATATATACCTAATTTGCCCATTAATTCCATTGAAGTAGGTATCATGTCCGATGTATAATGGTGCATCATTGAATATAACAAATTCATTCTGAACTAATATGATACTTGAAAATCCAAACCATTTACCATCTATATATATATCCATTCGTTTTTCAAGATTTGAAAGTGTGTATGCAATATGATACCATCGGTTAAGCAAAATTTCATTACCAAAAATACCATCAATTCCCCGATTCATATCAATATTAGTTGTGTAACGTGGATGTAGAGCTGAAGACTGTGGTGTCAGCCAGAGTGAAGGTGTACGTTCGGTGTCTGCCGTCCTACCTAAATATAAAAAACATTATACACATATATAACTTTTTGAGATAAATAATTAGTGGTCATATGTAAAATACCCTTATGAAAAATAACAGCCCAATTAACATCATGGCTCATGAGATTTATTTTTAATGTTATTGACAACTCATCATTTACAAGTGGTAACTCATTATGGTTTATAATTCGATTAGTAGGAGGAGTTAATGTGAGTGTTTCTGTTATTAATTCTTTGTATGATCTTTGTGGTTGACAAAATAGTGAATAATTGATGATGATTATTATTATTATCAAATAATAGTAATTCGATAGTAATGTTTTCATTTCTCAATTATGTAGACTTTAATGGAATAATAAAATTTTCTGTAAGAAAAAAACTCCAGAAAAAAAATCGGCAAATGATTAATACTCGATCGTTTTTTATCGTAGAATGTATATATCAAATAATCATATATATATAGTGTGTTGCGAAAAAAAATTGTGCGTGAATTGTAAAATTAATTTTTATAATAAATAAAAAAAATAATGTTTACATGATTACCATTTTTATAAATCTCTTTACAAAAAAAGAAATTATCCTACTTCATTGTTTATTTCATTTAACATGACCAATAAAGAACTTGAGGCGCAATGTCAAACAATTCTACATTAGTGGCTAAATGGAATTCGTACTGCCAAAGAAATATATACAAAAGCAAAGATTCCCATTCAAAAAACTCAAAAAGGCAACCGTTAAACATATTGGCGGTAATGGCCGTCGTTCTAAGGTTACACATACTGTTTCACGTTCAATTAGGCAACTGGTTCACCATAATTCTGCAATTACAATAATAATTAGCGTAAGAAAGCAAACAAAAAAAATCGGTGTAACTTATTTTTTCTTTTTTTGTTCAAAGAAATTTTTTTTTGGTAAAATGTAATGCTTATCGTAATT